TAAACACCGAACTTTCTTTTGGCGCGAGTGTCATTTCATTCCTTTTATCAACCATTTTTTATACGCAACTTGTTACATACATTTTTCTTACCTCTCCACTGGTATGCGACCAGGGAGTGCGAATCTTTGTGCTAATTATTTAAAACAAATAAATTTTGTGAACATTTTTAAAAAAGCATAAAAAAAAACATATAATCCAAAATTCTTTTGAATATACGTGGGGTGAACGTGGCAAGTAAGTGCTGGTGTTAACAGAAAGTGTATTGCGATGTTCCAATACTTGGACCTCTAAACGAAGTTATAAAGCGTATCCAAAATCACCTAATAGCCAAAAACGACGATCATCGCTTTCGTATTTGTTTTGAAAAAAGTCTCAACCTCTCTAACAATCGCTGCAAATATACTAAACGCACTCATTTTTATACTCTTGCAACATGTTGCTACAGAGTATAATAGTTTTGATCACCTAACAGTTGTGCGTATCACCTAAAACTAATCGAGACAGATATAGGGTTATATATGTATAAATAAATGATCTGGATGACGAGACGAGTTGAAATCCGGATGTCTGTCTGTCTGTCCGTCCGTCCGTGCAAGCTGTAACTTGAGTAAAACTTAAGATATCTTGCTGAAACTTGGTACACATGTTAGTTGGCACCATAAAAAGTTTGGTCAGAGAATGTTAATAAATAGAGAGCAAATGTTAAATGAAATCTTTTTGAGTACTAATTGGTAATTCCAGATGAGAGAAATCGAAAAATATAACTTCAAAAAGAAAAATACACCACGCAATGTGCGAAATGCTATAAATAGACACAACGAATATTCCTAAATGAAAAATCGTTGCGCATACCTATTTAGATTTATGTTTTCAATTTCTATGATATGACAAATTTATAATTATGAAAAGCCTTCTGAATTAAAAATCTGTATTACCGGTAAAAACCCCAGAATTCATAATAAAATAAACATTTAATAGGCAATTTTTCAAACTTATGTATGTGCGTTGCGTGAGTAATTGCTTATTGAACAAAGGATAACAATAAAACGGTGGCTAAGCGGTCGCGTTTCCACTTTTGTGGTGGCTTAGGTCGTAAGCGTGAAGGAGCTCATTCCGAGTACGAGCATATAAGTTCGAATCCTAAAACTCATGTAAATTATATTTTATTTAATTTTTTTATTTTATTAATTGGAGTCTAAGCATATCAAAATTCAATTACATTAATAGCATATTTTACTTACTGAGATAATTAAAATATTTCAGGAAAATATATTCATATGTTTAGGTTTATTGAATATTTCCTTATTATGCGTATTTACACAAATGTGAAAAATAACACATACATTCTTAAATACACGTACGCTGATGATTGCTTCTTCTTGCCCCGCACAAACAATGACATTTGTCCACACTTCTTGCTTTTTGCGAGAAACAAGTTAAACGATCGCAGGCAAGGAGTGGTTAGGGCACACTGCCACATAATTATTTCAGATAGTTTTTATTAATCGAATTTATTTTTAAAACGATTATAGGTATGAATTTATTTGCATTTGTATTTTTACGTATCTATTAATTATATTACGTCAATAAGTCATAATGTATTAGTATTTTAAAAATTACAATATTAAGCAACATATTAATATATTATGAGCCCTCACTTGAAACGCCTCTGTGCATGGTGGCAAGCCAACGAAATAACGGCGAGTTCGCGCGGATATTGTGTTGTTGAAAAAAATCAAATGACGACTTTGTCGACAAACATACATATGTATATACATATGAGCTCGCATATATATTGACGCCGAATTTGGTGCATCTGGCGGAGTTGACAAAATTTGTTTGAATCGACAATTTTACGACAATGTCGGTCGGCTATGTTGTCTCGTTTGTCCTTTTTGCAGTGGTTTGCTATTGCAAGTTGACTTATGCTGCTTTGAAATATTGCGATTACCGATTGGACTGCATTTTCATAGCGTCGTGTTTAGATAAAATGGGCTATGTTGAGAATCTATGAAACAAAGATAATAAGTAAACATATAAAAGTACTAAATGCAGTGTGCTTAGAAAATATAGAAGTAGTTAAAGATTTCTTATGAATGGCAATTTTATATAAATTTTATAATTTAATACCATAAATAGTGCATAATATGGAAAATATATAAATATTATTTAACGCGCTAATATTATTTTAACTCTTCAATTTTACTGAAGACATTCAAATTCAAATTCAATTTCATTCATATTCGCGCATTTGCGATAAGAATTCGATATGAATATCAAATGTGGTTTACCAGGTGCACAGAAAAAATAGCGCGGCGCAGCGGTTGTTATATGAAATACTTAGAAAATAACGGCTTATTCGAGTTCGCTTGAATATAATTGGCCGAAGATGGTACGTCTACGTTTTTTTGTCACTTGGGCGAATGTTTGATTTTTTGCGAAAGACATATTGAGGGACATACCTTTGTACATATGTGTATATATATGCAAATATATTTGGACATATGAATGAAGGAAGGCAGTTTCAAGAATATTTACATATAGACATATGAATATTTGAAGCAAGTAAACAACAATAGCAGTTTGAGTTCACAGATTAGACAAAATTACTTGAATATCGGCTGTGGTGCTGCTTCTATAGCACACTTGCTTATTGCAACTTGAAATATTTTGACTAAGTTCAAATCCTATCAGATATTTTTTATACTCTTTTTTTATTTTTATATTTTCTTGTCAAAAGTGACTTTCTTACGTTTTTATTATTTAAATTTTTGTTATGTGCATACCAAAGAACATCTGAGCATATGTGCATATGTATGTATATACATTTGTATATGGTTTGGTATTGTAGATGGGCGTAATCGGACCACTGCCACGCCCACAAACCGCCATTAATCGAACACTTATAAAATAATTAAGCACTAAACTAAAGATTTAATTAAGATATACATACATATATCTGTAATTTGGTACAGAAGATTGTATTAGGGCCTGTATTGTTGAAACATTTTCGAAAAGTGGGCGTGGCCCTGACTCCTAATAAGTTAAATGCATATTTCTCCTAAACCATTCAAGGCATATAATCCAAAAATGCATAGAATAAATATTTTTGACACTTCCATCGACAGTGTGCAAATGGATGAAATCAGATGATAACCCCGCCCACAACAGTTTTATTAAAAACTACTAAAAAGCAATACCTAAATTTGTCAGAGACATTAAATTTTACATCCGTGATGGCACAAGGAGGTTATAGAGGAGCCGTTGTCGAAATTGGACGATAGGAATGGCACCGCCCACATTTAAGCGAAACCATATATCTCCGGAACTACTTGATCAATTTTAACAAAATTTGGTACATACAATTTTTTAACAATCCCATCTTGCAATGAGATTTTAAATTCCATATGATTTTTTTTACTTTTTACTATATAAATCAAGCTCCAAAAAATATATTAGGACAAGCCTTTGCACAAATAGTGCTTTTGAGGTATACTATCTTTCGTCTAAAAATTGTCAAAATCGGACTGTTCAAGCCCCCAGTTCCGGAATATGAGTGCATGGTGCTAACTTTTTACCGGAAATAACGGTCAATCTGTAAGATATATTATTGCAATTCGAAGAGAATCTCTTTATGATATTAGTATGCAACTATGCATTTCAATAAAAATAAGTGGATGTATTTCCTTATAACGCTTCATCTTTGTGCCTAAAATGAGTAAAATCAGGTGAAAACTTTCCCTAGCTCTCATATAACAAATCACAGAATTTTCAAACATCTGGTTGGTTTTATTCCACATAACACATGGGCTGATTTTGATCGGGCCTTACTCATAGATGGCGTTAGTTTTTTTGACTTCGCCTCATTATCAGTTAGTACTAACCTTTAAAAAACAGCTGTTAAAATATTATGATTATTTGATATTCTATTTATTAGTTTGCGAGTTATTGTGCTAAGAGTGACGCTACTTTTGTTATTTTAAAACAATGGATAATAAACAATTTCATGTTTTAATTTTACATTGCTTCTTGATGGGAAAAAATATCGTTCAAGCTATAATGCAATAATGCAAAACACAGTGGGCGTCCAAATCTGGCTGCAACAGTGGTATTGTGTTGCTCTTGATGGAGATTATATTGATGCATGAAGCCAATTTTGAACAAGCCAATGTGTTATGTATGTTGGTGATGGTAATGAAACTCAGGGAGTATTTTTTTCTATTAAGAGTATGTAATATTGGATATAACATATAATATTTATAATATATATATAAATATAATGCCGAAAATATAGTTTAATAAAATTAAAAGAAAAAGTTTTCTTAAAAATTGTGGAACGTTTTCACATCAACTCACAATATTAATTTTAGCTTTTTCAGTTGAGTTTATATCTCATATATCTCCTTTGAAGATGATTTTAATACAATTTTAGAAGACGCGAAGTAAAATATAATATAATTTAATAAAATACAAATTTGATTGTAATCCATAGACGATGTCGCCGAAAAATGAATGTTGAATTGTTTCCTAACATTTTTTAATGAAGTAAAATATAATATAATTTAATAAAATACAAATTTGATTGTAATCCATAGACGATGTCGCCGAAAAATGAATGTTGAATTGTTTCGTAACATTTTTTAATATAAATTTTCCTTGCTTTGATACTTGCTAGTTGCACGAGTATAAAATGTTCGGTTCCACTCGAACTTAGCTGATCCTTACTTGTTATTATTATTTTGATCTATTTTATTTTTGAATGATTTGAAAGCTTTTATTCATTTGTAAGATGGGATAAAAACGAGATCAAAAATTAACAAATTGCTCGTATTTCAGAACACCAAAACCAAATTCACTCGGTTTTATATTCATTTAATTTTCATTTTCACTCGGATTCCAGAACCGGCCTGATTACCTCCAAATTTTAAAATGATTGATGAGTAATTTTCAAAGTTTTTAGTTTATAACATTTGAGATAATGAAAGAGGATAGATCATTCTTAATTTTCAACAATAATATTTAACATTTTTATTAAAAACATTTACAAATTTAATTTAATTCAGTCCTATTCGTAACGTACATTTTAACAGTATCATTGCACAACGCGGCAATGGGACAATTTCTCCATTAATTTTTTCAGTCGAATTGGTTGCTACAATAATATTTCTTGTAATCTTTTTGATTACTAAACGTGTTACGTGGCATAAATGAGGTGGTTTGAAATTACGCTGAATAATAAATAATAGGTAAACCAATTTTCAAGCAAAGATTATGTCAGAGAATGTTAATGAATAGAGAAGGCACAAATGTTAACTGTACTAAAATGTAAATTATTAAAAGGGAAAATCGAAAATGCACAAGTTCAAAAATAACATTACACCCTTACCTTCTTTATAAGCGAACTCAACAAACTACACCACTCTAAGAAGGAGCCAAGCAAATTTTCACCACCTCATAAGGGAACGGCAAATGTATGTATGTGCAGATGTTCTCTGGCATTTGCCTATTAACAAAAACAAATGATAGATATATACGTAGATGTAGATAATAGATAGAAATAACAGTAGCCTAATCGGTAATCGTAGTATTTAAAATAATTCAATTTTCAATAGCAAAGCACTGCAAAACGACAAACTTGACAACATAGCCGACCGACATTGTCTATTCAAACAAATTTTGTCAACTCCTTTTGTTAGAACTCAATTCCTTGCTCCGCCCGGTCTCCGCGCGAACTCGCCGTTAATTCCATGGCATGGCCAGATCATTATATTGCTTAATTTGTATAGAGAAATACTGATATCATAGGGCTTATTGACATAATATTATCATACTTACATAAAAATATAAATACAGTACACATAAATTCATACTACAAACGTTTTTAAAAACTGACCCCTCCTTGCCTGCGATCGTTCTACTGTAAGTTATTCAACTATTCAGAGAGTGCTTAGAAAAAATTATTTCCACGATAGAGTGGCACGTAACAAGCCTTTAATTAACGAGCGGAACGGAAAGATTCGTCTTGAATTTGCAAATACCTATCTTAAGCAGTATGCTGACTTCTGGAATGATGTTTTATTCATGGATGAGTCTAAATTTACAATACAGCGATGGATCCGAAAAATATGCAACCGATGGTCCAGCATGGCAGAGGTTCAGTCATGGTATGGGGGTGCATGTCTGCCCTTGGTGTGGGAAATTTGGTGTTCATCGATGGTTGTATGGATCAGTGGAAATATCTGAATATAATTCCAAGCAGAGCGCTGAAAAAATGGGTATTAAGTTGTACGATGACAACAACCCAAAGCATACAGCATATTCTACACGAATGTGGGCCCTCTACAATTGCCCGAAAATGTTGAAAACTCCATCCCAGTCCCTAGATTTCACATCATTGAGCATGTATGGAATCATTGGGACCAAAAAATTTGAGCTCTGCCAATTTGTAACATTTCAATTCAAAAACGCGCTCCAAAGTTATTTTAAAAAGTTGGTTGATTAAATGCCCAAACGTGTTCAAGCTGCTGAAACTAACAGAGGTTTTCCTCAGTATTGAAATTCATTTTTTTGTATAATTTTTTTCCATTGAAAGTAAAAAAATACTCCCTGTGCAATTTTTACTGGCCGAATATTACTTAGCTAAGGGATTTTAAATTAACTGTTATTTGTTATTACTATTTTAAAGTTTTGTGAATGAATGAATTTTAGATTTTATATCATGCTAAGTAGTCTATTAAATTGGAATTATTTGAAGTTTGGAATTGGACTATAAAGTACTTAAAAAGTGTGCCCTTACGATTTTCAATGACACTCACTGTACATTTTTGACAGCGGTTTCTGGAGTTTCATATCATTGCATCAGTTTTAGAGAAAAGTCTCGCAAGGAACAGACGACCCAACAAGGATAAGTATATACGTGCTTGCTTATACAACTGAGGAAATGTAGTACGAATATATTCCCATTCCTCTAACCGATTGCTTTTCAAAATAGAAATGGGTGAAGACAGATAAATGGCCACATGGTCTCCCGAGCATTGGGAATTTTTCCGTCACTTCAGATTCGCTGGATAATTTTAATGTATCCTTTTTAATGAGATTTCGCAGTTTTAATATAGCTTGACCACATGCAAGCGAATCTTGAAAATTTATATTTTTGAACCTGGTATCCAGGAGAGTGTTTAAAGCTGCATGTGAGTTGTATTCAATTTGACCGAATTTGCGATTCAGCTCAGTTCGTAAAATTACTACAACACTTCTTATTTCTGCATAAGGCGATGTAAATTTACGAAGAGTTGTGCTTAAACATTTTATCATTGATATAATTTTAGATAAAGTTAAATATTTGCCTTTGCGAGAGTATAAAATGTTTGGTTACATCCGAACTTAGCCCTTCCTTACTTCTTTTTAATTCAAAATTTCCACAACGGTGTATATGCTGCACAACTAGGCAATCGTATCTGCCGTTGCGGTTAGTGTGTATTTATTAAATGGCCCTCCACCAGTTGCTCTAGCTTCGGGAGTGTTGTGGGTAACTTTTTTCCTGAAGAAAGCCTTCCAATCCATCCAAACCTTATGAAATGTTAGCTAAGAAAACTTCTTTAGAATAGAGAAATTTTTATTTTTTACCTTTTTAAAAGTACATTAAGCTCTTTAACCAATTCTTTCCAGAGCGCATCGACTTTAGTTTGGTCACTCTTCACAATGTCTCTATGAGCTTCCATGAACCGAATATTAATTGCGTCCTGCCCAACGTTCTAACGAGCATAATGTGTAAATCCCACAATAAGTAAAACAAATCATCAAAACCAAATGTAGCATTGACCAGTAGCTAAATGAAGTATATTGAATACCGTGACATTGAAAATTTTATGTATAATGGAATTTAAAATTTAAATTTATACAATAAATTTAATTAAATATTATTTTACGTTTAATGGTAATACGAGAGCATATTTTAAAATTGCATTGGCGCTATCATGTATGGATGTTTTAGATACTATAGATTTTGTTGACTCTCTTTCTTCAAGAATCACTTCTGGATCAAATCCGGTGTAACGACTTTTCTTAAGCTCTTTATGTACCACTTTTATTTGCTCATTAATCTGTATGTAAATATTTTAATTATTCATTCATTAAATAATTGTTAAAAGGCGCTAAATTTATCTATTAAATTTCTTACAGTTTGATAATCAAAGGTAAGTTGTAATCTGTAATCACTACTCCCAACAAAAGTCAAATTGTGATAAGTCACAAATTGAGTTACAAAATACAAATCTGACACAGAGGGTCAGTGGAATGAGGCAAGCGTGGTTATAAAGGTTGTGAAAAATTGACATGACCTCGCCCTCTAATAGTGTTAATGCGTATCAAAGCTTCGAACACCAAACTCGGCGAGAACATTTTGTTTCTATTCACGGTGCACTGTGAAAATGAAGAAAATCGGGGGATAATAACTTTTACCTTTCACTAACTGTAATGTCCGAAACACTAAAAGTGTATATGTATATGCTGCAAAGTTATGATACAGAAGCATTTCATGTAAATACATATATAAAATTTATTCGGTGCCCAAATTCTGTGATTAAAAGTTCGTTCAGAACCTATTGTTGACTTCATGTTGTTGTACAATATTTATGTAAAATATATTAAAATTTAATTTTATATCATAACATTAAATGAATGTGCTTAGCATCCCCTAACAATAATATCACTCACCATTATCGTCAAACGAGGCGCATTCCCACAACTGAATAAATTGGCAATAAATTTAGGAACATTTTCTGTTTTTTCATTTATGGCCTCATGAATGAGTACTCGTATTATAGCTCGGATCTAAAAATATAGAAATTCATCTTTAAATAAACATACATATTTACTTCTTCTAACATATGCAAAAAGAGAGAAATTTATACTCTCGCATGTTTCAACGATCAAAGGCTGGGAAATACTTTTAGGTGTGGCTAACATTCTATTAAAAAATGTTACGTAAAAATGAACAGGCACTATTCGAAGAAGCCAAAAGGATGACAATCAAATTTGGTATCTTATGAAACTACATATTGCTTGTCCGAAATATTATATTATAATCAAGTAATTATCTACAATGAGATATATGTGATATATACTCAATCAAATGGACTAAATTTTAGATATGGATTAGAGAGATCGTAAATCAATAGGATATGAAGTTTAGACCAAGATCTAGATAATTTTTTGATCGATTCACTAACAATAAAAGATTATCTGCCATCATGTTGTTGAAAACGCAAGCTTGGAAGTTGACATAAAGAAGTGAACAAAATAATGTAAACTACTGTATTTGCATAACATTTGCAACAAAAGATTTGATAAAAATAATTAGTGGTGGATCGGCAAATAGAGCGGAAAACAGCCCCAAGGATGCAAACATAGAATGTTAATAGAAATGTTTGCTATTTTGTACCAGTTAATGATAATAGAATGTTACATATATGTAATGGTGTATAAAATATAAATGTTTATTATTTATAAGCGCAGAAAGTAAAGTGCTGTTCTTTAAGTGATTTATAATCTTCCCCATTTCTAAGAATTTATTCAAATACTTTAAGCTCTTTTCAATCTTGCGCAAAATATCTCGCAGTTGACG